CGATCCTAAAGACTTTTCCGTGGTACTGGTGAGGGATGGGGTATAGGGCCGGGCCTGCCTGGGACTAGCTCCTCAATGACAGCTCTCAGATGGAGTTCCCGCCCCCGCTCCCCCAGTTTCTGGCTGTGGAAAGGGTACTTGAGCTGGTGGCCCAGAGCCAGCCGTGTTAAGCCTGCAATTCTGGACAAGCAGGGTCTGAAGTTCGCTGGTGCTGAATGGTGGGTGGTTTGGGGAGGGAGCGCAGGAGAAGGCGGTGGGGGCTCTGGGCTGCCCACCTTTGGCTGCCTTAGGGTCCTCTTTACTTTCCTCAAGCCTCTTGCACCCAGAGAGCAAAGCGCACCCCTGAACGCCAAGGAGCAAACTTACCCTGTTCCTCCGTGGCTGGAAAACAAAATCTAGCTACCTGCATCCGGAGATCCTGGCTGGGGTGGCCTCCCAATTTAGCCCTCCTACTTTTAAAGAACCCTTTTTAAAAGACAATAAAAAACAAAAAACAATCAAGCAGCAAAAGTTGACGTCTGCCCACGTGAATGTATCCTATAAAGCAGCTTTGGGATTCTCTGGTCCGGTCGGGTCGGTGGGCCCGAGTGCATTGCGCCTCCATCGCGTAGCCCTCTGGCTGGCCCAGCGGAGAGGACCCCCTGGATCCCAGCCGGCTGGGAAGCTGAAGTCCAGGCATGATGTTAGGATCTCTACCAGGCCGGGATTTCTTCAAGGCGCTTCCGTTGGGTGTTCATTAAGGGTGAGTTATTACTGCGTGAGCCAAAGGTCACTTCAAAGGCTTATGGCGTTGCGATCTGGTCTTTAGAAGGGCCCGAAATGCTTTGTGTGGGGCTTTCCCAGCTCAGTTTAGTGTTTGCAAACTAGTGAGTCGACAAATTGCAGGGGGCAGATGCAAGAGGGGGGATTGTCTCTACTTTCACCTGACAGGGGGGGACAGGTACTTGCTGAATGCCTGGCAGTGGTGTGCAGCACCATCCGTTTTGGGGTGAGGGTGGAAGGGGTGTTTTTTTCTTAGTCGGTTTGCAGCCCAGACCAGAAGGGTGGTTGGTACTTACTGGAATAAAATAAACTCGGGGAGAGCATCAACGTATAAACGGAGAAACAGTGTCCAGTACCCTCTTCACTGGAGCTGCTGCGGCAGCTGTTGACTGGGACTCACCCAGGCCCATCTACATATCCACCGTCCTTTCTGGTGCTGTGTCTGTTCTAGTAGCCTCCCTTCCACTCCAGTTCTGTACAGTCCCCCTCTCTTGCTCTTAGAAGGCCGGCTTGGCCGGGGGGATTGGGAAACCTGGAGCATTTTACTTGGTTGGAGCAGAAGGAGAGGGACTGGTTTCCCTGCACCTCTGACCCACTTGGTACACCCCCTGTCCAAGGGTGTGGTCCTTCCCTCAGGCCCAAATCCCCCTTCTCCCATCCAGCCAAAGATTTCAGTGTTAAAGGCTACTTGCTCGCCAGGAGCCAACCGAGTTTCTTTTCTGCCTGATAGAAGGCACCTGGAATGGCTGCAGGCACCTTTTACAATAGTCACATTGGTTATGACACCCTTAAGGGGGGTAGAGCCTCTGGACATGTAGGTGTTTGTAAGAACCAACGGCCACTGAGAGTTTTCCATTTTGTTCCAGATCCACCTGAACAGACTATCAAAAGAAACCCGAAGAGCCTACAGAAAGAGTTAGAGACAAAATTTGAGAACACACACACACACACACACACACACTCACACACACACTCATATACACAATTGTGTTGAGTGGCATGACTTAAAAAATAATTTCCACTACATTTCCATCTGTCCAGCAACTCAAAGTAGCCATCTCAGGATTCATACATCAAGACAAGACAAAAGGGCGGCTTTGAAGTGGATCACCTCAGTGTGAACTGCAGCCCGTTACATGATAACCGATCATCGGCCTTCATATTTATGGCGCTTTAATGGGGTGAGCCCAGTGCCTTAAATGCGGGGTGTATTACATACCAAGTTATCTGGGCTAAATAAGAGTGATTTAGAAGGTCCATCCAGGGCTCCCCATAGGTCAGAAGAGGCTCGGGCTGAGAGATCAGGAGAACTTGGGCAGAAAGCTTTGTGGTAAATAGATCCTCTCCCCAGCAAACCTGAAAAGGAGTAGCTACAAAATCCCGAAGTAGCAAGGCCCACAGGAAGGAAGAATCATCGCTCAGTTCCAGTGAATTACGGGGATACTCAGCAAGAGTCCTGTCTGCCAGAACGAGATCTGTGGGCTCCCAAGGCCCTGGTGTAGGCAAAACAGGGAGAGGAGACGCAACTCGAACCTAGAAAAAATTGAGACTAACAAAAGCAACCAGCACACCATCACCTCCCCCTTCTCTTTCAACTTCACGGACCCACTCTACCCATCCGTGATTTACGACCACTGAGCGCTAGCCACAGCCCAGAGAAGGCCGCCCCCTCCCTTCCCGAGCCCCTTTTTTGAGGCGGCACCGGCCACTTTATATAATCGCCCTGCTCCGGGGCGCGGGCCCGGGAAAAGTGCGGAGTAGGGCATTCTTTTGCTGCGCTTCCTCCTACGCGGAGACTGTTTTCCACTTCTGAAAAGTGCCGGGCCTGGGGAAGTGTTTTTCTTTTCTTCCCTTACTGAAGCGTTTACTGCCGCCGCGCTCGCAGTCATAAATTTTGTTACAAACCACAATGACAGGTGCATTGATATGCACCCTGAGAGCTCCAGCTGCTTAATAACCCCGTCCCCTGGCCGCTGTGAGCGCCTTTTATTTATTCGGTATCATATTAGGTATTGATCTCGGGCAGAATTAAGTGCAGTGAGCAAGTATCTGGATTCAGCTGTTTCGGAGGCGCGGTGGGTGCGGCGGGACAAAGCCGCCCGGTCTGGGGGAGCGGTGGTGGGCGCTCAGAGGCTGCTGTCCTTCCCGCTGGGGACCTGGGAGCCCCGCCTGTGGTTGGGCCTCTGGACTAAGTTGGGGGATTCCCTGGGACCTCGAGAAAGGACAAGCCAGACCCCCATTTGGCGCTCCTTTCCCCGGAGGGGCCGAGGATGGCGCAGGCAGGGTTCTGGGGAGGCTGCCGGGCCTGGTTCCCTGGTCCTGGGGCTGAAGGGGAGGAGGCGTGAGAGGAAAGGGCAGCTGAGGACTTGGAAGACTGCCCTTCCCCCCACAGGGCTTGTCTTCACCCCAAGGCATTTGGGTCCCGGAGCCCAAATGAGCAGAGATACCAAAGGGCGAGAAAAGAAAGCCTTAAAGAAAAAAAAAGGGGGGGGGGTGATCGAAAAGATGAGCCACTGAACAGTTGACCATTGTCCAAGTTTTATGACCC